CGTGTTCGTCCATAGCTAGCACGGACCAAAAGCTAAGAGGAGAGGAAAACTGGGGAGAATATTTGGGGGGAAAAATTAAGATGAATTCTACTAATTTGGTATCCCTTACTGTGGGCTGAGGCTCAGGAGGCCTCCCTGGGACTAACCCTTGCTATAGCTGCTGTTCTAACAGCTCTGCAAGGTGAGAGCTGCCTCATTCAGAGACATGAGGAACAGCAAAACACATCAAGTTTGAAGGTACAGAACACTGGAGGAGCAGCTCAAGCAAAAGCTAAAAGTGCAAACAATATGGAGCAAAAAGCCCTAGCTCTATAAATCAGAGCTGACTCAGCAAACATTCGCCATGGCAAGTCCCACCAGGCCCAGGGCTGGGAAGGTGCAAGCACCCAGGCCTGGCTACACCTCAAAGGTTCAAAACCATTTCTAAATATAGATCCCACTTTCTGTCTGCAGGAGCTGTAAATCAGGAAAAACAACTTTTTTCCATCCCCAATAAAATATGTGCACCCAAGGCAAACTCAGATGATTTCTGGCTTCCTACCAGCTTTGCTTGGGCATAAAATTTTCTGACACTTCACCAGGAATGTCAGCATCGGTATAAGGCAGCTTTAAAGAGGGAAATGATTTTCTGACCTGAGGATAACCCCTTTAGCCTCAACAAGAAAATGGGTAAAAAATAGACCTGAAGCCCAGTTTTTCCAGTAATTAGTGTTGGAACTAACTGGCTTTTTTAGGGACCAAATTCTTCCTTATAGGAAGTGCTAGTCTTTGAATTAGTGCACAGAGGGGTTGTGTCTGCTCTACTGCTAAATCCCTGACACTGAGCACAGACCCTCCTGACCAGAAGGAGTGTCAAGAACAATCCAGAGTGAAGTGAAGAGGAAGAGCAGTAGAGCGAGGGAGGAAGAAGAAAGAGGAAACAAAGGGAGGAGAGAAGATTAGTTCCTTAGTCAGAGCCCTCGTCTCACCTTTTTCTTTGTATTTATTGTTTCCTTGAATTTTCAAACATCTAGCCTGATGGAAAATGAATTCTATCTTTTCTCAGGTCTTCCAGTCCAGTGCTGCTTATTCTTGCTAGTGCAATCAATGGAGAACCCACAAAGATTAAGGCTCGGAACCAAGGAAAGGGAGAGGAAGCTGATCTAAGTCCCTTCCTTCAGCAGCAGACATTCAAGGAATTCTCCAGTGTGGGGCACGGCAGAGCCATCCCAGGGAAATCACCAGCAGGCTCAAGCAAGGTCCACTGGGAGGAGCAACACCTGGACAGACCCTGGACGGGCAGGATCTATAGTTAAAGGGCCAAGGGATGGTAGGACCAGGATGAATCTCAGAACAAAGGCAGAAGCAGGTAGGACCAGTTCTCCAAGGCCCTTCCTAGACTATATTTTACGCACATTGAACAAAATCGCACAGGTTTTCTAATAGGTCTTCTTGGAACTATTATAAATGTAACCAGCAGGAGTGGTAATAGTTTTAATTTGTAAATCAGAAAAGATATATTTTGGAGGGGGAGATCAATACCTTTACTTACTAGTTATATTAACCTAGGCAAAATATTCAACTTTCATAAACTCCACTCTCCTCTCTTCTAACAGGGAAGACGTTACAAGGGGCTATAAAAAGCGACTCTCCATCAAATGTGACCACTTCGGCCTAATACCTGGAGGCTGTCATTTGCATCCTCATGCTGCTGCTCCTGCTATCTCTATTCCCATTCTTGTTATCACTCCGATCATTAACAACCTGCATCACCAGCATTAAAACAGGAATATCAGGTGTGACTTTTTTCAATATTAGTTTTTTTTCAGCTCTTCTCTGGAAATGCTGAGCTAGAACACAGAGTCAGCCTGACCTAACACATAGTAGGTGCTCTCCATGTTTTTAAGGAGACAAAGAGACAAAGAATTGACCCCAGCAAATTGTGGGGCAGGAAGTGAATAGCCAGGCAAGGTGCTTTTCATTACTTGCCTTTGGGCAACAGGGCTCTGGGGTCTGGGAAGGGCGGCTTCAGCTTGGCTTGAAGAATGAGAGATTGAGAGCACAGTGTTCAGTTTGGAGGAAACATCACAGAGTTTATTTTGTAGAAGTGTTTGAAGTAACTCTGTAACAATGAGCTCACACCTGCTGCCAACCACCAGTCAGCAGGCTCAAGCCTGTTTGCAGGAAGATGTACACAGCCGGTCCTTCACCCACAGCCCCTCCCACAGGACATGATGCCCACATGCAGGGTGGATCGCAAATTTTCTTCATTCGACAACTCCCTCCTCTCCACAAGGGGACACTAAGGCCCAAAAAAGGGAAGCAGCTGACCAAGAATCCAAAGGAAGCTGGAGACCAGGGGGAGCCTTCTGGTTTTAGGTTGATTCTTTGGCAGGAGTTTGAAGTGCATCCCAGAGGATCTTTTTCTTTTTCTAGTCAATTCCTGCATACATTTATCGAGATAACCTCATCTTTTATAAGTCACATGCTAGAAATGAGCAAATCTCACATAAACCCACCCCTGAGTGCAATATAGGGAAGCTGTTCAAACTCATGCTTTCTTCCCACTGCTTTGTGTGCAAAGACATTCTTCACAGAAGATGAGTTTACTACAGCAGAGACCTGAACCGGTTTAGAATGTGACATCTGCATTTCACCAAACCCAATACCTAATACCCGTCCACCCAGGGTTAAGCATAACAGTCTACATAGAGTTTGGAAAGGAAATGAGGTCATCTATGAAAGTAGTTGTAGGGGAGAATTTCTCATGGACTGTGGGACAAGTCAAAAAGCCCCAGAGTTACTGACATTTCAAACTTCACATTGAGAGGTGGAAGCTTACTGGGCAGACCACAAACTTCTAGACTCATAGAGATCAGACCTGATTTTTCTATAATCCATGGTAGGTATATATAAATACACATATGTGTGTATGTACACACACACACACACACACACACACACACACACACACACAGAGACCTCAAGGATAGACCATAAAAAGAAAGCACGTGGGCCAAAGATCCTGCATTCAATTCTATTGTTACATTTCAGTTTGTTTTGACTGGTAAACCTGGAAGTAAGTGGTTGGGAGGAGGAGAAAAGAAAGCATAGTTAACTCTGGAAACTTTTCAAAGCTTAAGAAAGCGTCCAAGACTCCACAGACTGTTTTATTCCCATCAGCTCAGGACTGCCCAATTCTTTCCACACTAAAAATACAACCAGATCTTTTTCACAACAAGAGCACCTTTTCTCCCTCAGGTTCATTTGAAACAATAGGTTAAATAATATTGAAATGGTCTGAACCTTGATTTGGCAGGTATACTTTACCAAACCCAGTTAGCACACACTGTCCTTCCCCAATGGAACCACTGGTTACTCACCCCTGCCAGTCCTAACCTTGCAGTCTATTTCAAGTATCAGTCCATGTTCACTAATTACAAACAAGAGAAAAATCAAGCACCATTCACTGCAGTTACTGGTACAAATGAGGGTTAAAAACTGAAGCCCAGGCAAGGGGCTGAGCTGTGAGAGCAAAAGGGACTCCCAAGGGCTTGACCATCAAGGGGTACAGATCAGGGACAGCAAAAGAGGAGAAAGGAAAAAGAGAGAAAGCAGACAATGAGTGAATCCAAACCTTGGAGGGCAGGTTTGGATGCCAAGTGGCCAAGCCTCCTGCCCATCTCCCATTACGAAGTTTAGATTTCTACACCTTGGTATATACACTTATTTGGTCCATTCCTGAAGGCGAAACAGTCATTAGATCTTTGGTGAGAGCATTGCTGTAGGTCTGTGCTTTTAATCTCTGATTAGACCTCTGCAGGCAAGCTTTTAAGACTAAGGCTTCTTTCAGTATGACGACGTTCAGACAGTTCCCGTGGGACCCACGGTGTGGAATGTGAGGATACCAGAGAAGTGCTCAGAGCCGCTGAGCCACCGGAGCTGCGAGCTGATGGTGAGACAAAACTGGTGTGTGAGCGGATGCCTCACTGTGAAATTATTTGAGCAGCAGTAAATGCATTGGTCTGGAGACTTGGGAAATAGGACAGAATCAAGGATGTAGATCCTCCATGGACAGAAAATAAAGCCTGTCTCTCAAAAGAACAACTATATTAACTGCCAGTTTAAAACTGTCCTTCTTTTGCAATCTAGATAACCCCAAATCATACAATGAGCATCCTTTAGTAAACTCATTACTTGAATAATAAAGAAATCACTGTTATATTAAATATTACGTTGTTATATTACCATGTATTACTGAAAGAAAAGTATTACTTGTCATAAGGAAGGGTAAATTATGGACTTGAACTTCCTACATGAGAAGAATCAAAGATAAGATAGCTATTTCAAACAAAATAACCATTTTTCTTCTTAATCTCAGGATACACAGTTAACAATCTAGTTGGTTCTATACCTATGCTCTGGGTAATTAAAGTATGTCTCCTGGCTAATAAAAAAAAATGAACCTAATAAGTTAAAACCAATACAATGACAAGAAATAACATGTGTGTACAATATGTTACTAACACACTGATAATTTTCAGAAGTGACTTCAAGAAAGTTCTATAAATCTTTCAAAACACAGTGATTTATTAAGCAAAAGGTCTGAATGGTTTGCACTACTAAATTTAGCTTTGATGTTGCTATGTCATGGGGAGATCTTTTGTTCTATGCTGAACTTAGCATCCTCTAGTCTGTCTTCCCACAGCTCAACACCATGTCATCACGCAGTCGATTTTCTGGACTGCACAGGAGAAATGCATGCGGGGTTCTTGCAGTCATTTCTGTTACTGATTTTATAATCCAGGAATAGAATTCATCAAATAATCCAACAGCGATTTATCTCCTTTTCTTCCCCCTATACAGGCATCTCATAAAACAAATATTCTCTAGGCATGGGATGAAATGGGGAAATGTGGTGGCCAGAGGAAAACCATTTCAGCAATGCGTTGTTAAACAAGTGCAAGCAATAAACTGAGCTTAAGCAGGAAAGGCGGTCAAAGAAATCTGAAAGTACTGACCTGAGAGTCAAGCTGGGTGGAGCGAGGGTGAGAGCGGCAGATTGGAGGGTTAAGCGAAAGGAGAGGGTTGCAAAAGAAAGGAAGGAGATGATTAGTTTTAAACACACAGCCAACAGATGTTATATTAGCAGGTTTTAGAACCAAACAAAGGGTAATAAAGCAACTTTTAGCTGACAGACCCCAAAAGCCCTGGGCACACACCATAAACTGTTATGTTGAATAGCACACATAAGAACCCCATATCAGCTCTCACACACACAATCACAGCAAGCACGATGTGAACCACAGGTGTCTTCCCTTCTCCCGTACAATGGTGTCATTTTTCCTTTTCTGAAGGAACGCTTATATAGAAAGTTCATATCTGTGTGCCTATAAAATTTCATTACTTGATAAACTGAAATGGAAATCACTAAGTACTAGGTCTGGCAGTAAGCACTGATGTCAGAGAGACTTTTATTTGAACCAGTAGGCTGGATGCTTATATCCTAAGAGACATTTTTCCTTCATCCCTATAAACCAAAAGGAGCTGAGCAATTTGGCTTTTGGTTCAAAGATTTTCAGTTTAATGCTTAGGGAGCACTGTGCCCAGCAGGGATCAAAGGCCCAGTGAGGAGGGCTGCTGGTGGGGTGCCACCTGCCGATCAGCCTTCCTGGCAAGCCTTAGCAACTTCCAAAGCTGAGAGTAATTCTTTTCCATTGTGAAAATGAGGTTCTGACTTTATCACTGAGAATATCCAGATGCTTGTTAATTTATTTGTACAAAAAGATTCTAACATGCCCTTCTATCAGTCAAAATAGTAGTCTCTAATGGGAAGTAAAAATTCTGAGAAAAGTTAATGATCATTTTCCAAACCATGAGAGGAATACACAATGAAGGTTCATTTTTAATAACTTGTAAAATGCCCTTTGCAAAAATAAAGTGGATATACAAAAATAACACTTTACCAACTATCTTCCAGAGATTCCCCCATCATTCCACACTATGATGTAGTTTTAAGGATGTCTCATCAATAGAAAAAAAAAAAAACTGGGTATGGTGGTGCATGCCTTTAACCCCAGTACTTGGAAGGCAGAGGTAGATGGATCTCTGTGAGACAGAGGTCAGTCTGATTTACAGAGAGTTCCAGGTCAACTGAAGCTACAGAGAGATCCTGTCTTAAAAAAAAAAAAAAAAAAAAAAAAACTGGGAATGGGGGGGCATGCCTTTAACCCCAGTACTTGGAAGGCAGAGGGAGATGGATCTCTGTGAGACCGAGGTCAGTCTGATTTACAGAGAGTTCCAGGTCAACTGAAGCTACAGAAAGAACCTGTCTTAAAAAAAAAAAAAAAAAAAAAGCAAAACAAATCTACCATGATAAAAAAGAGAAAATTCAAAAGTGAGAATGTTGATTTCACAATCCCTCATATTTGAGATCCTTCTGTTGAGTGTTTCAAGGTTACACATGTGCAACTGATCAAAAATGAGAGTGTAGCCAGGCCATGGTCATCGTGAGGACTACGGCAACATCAGTCCAGCTGCTGCTTCCAGTCCTTCTGGATCACAGGTAATTAAGGTGAGGTCTTTGGCCAAGCTGCAGAAAACCCTCAGCTGGAACAGCAAACCCATATTTAAGGTTTAGCTGCTTCTTCCAAGGGATCCTAGCTAGGAAGCTTCCTCAAAAGGTCGCTTTGATGCTGTTCAGGTACTTGCCACTTGTTTTAAAGAAATGTCTTCAAATGCATTACCAAACGTAAGTGGTAAAATTTCTCAGTCAGGAAAGAGAGTGTCTATCAAAACAAGCAGAGCTGCTACTGGGTTTCTTCCACATTCTATGAAACTCTTAGAACATATTATCATACTTTAAAAAGAATAAGAAAGTTTAAGTTTGCATTTCAAAAAGAGTCCTGAAAGGCATCAAGGAAATTATGTCAGCACATTATTGAGCAAATCAGAAGGGAAAATAATAGTTTCTTTCTCAACCTTAGATAAGGTTCTGTTAGGCACCGAAAATCATTTTTCAACGTCAGAATGTCTGATGGCATTAGCCCTCAGTCCAGATAATGACGTGGTACCTTGTCTTCCGTTCTGATGTTATGTCTTATGAGTAGAGCCCCCAGGGACCCCCCCTTCCTCTCCACAATCTGGAGGGATATAACTGAGGGCTCAATTTGGGTTGTCTCCATCCTCTGGAAAAACACCAGGATAAGCCCCAACAGATTTAAGATAATTACACCAAAGGTCACCCAACTGATTCCTTCCCATGGGTGGGATGCAAGAAGGCCAGTGGCAGTTGGTCCTGTTTGACAGACTCTATTAGCCTCTCTCTTTCCCTAGGCAGCTAAGGATAGCTTCTGAATTTCTAAAGAAAATTTGGAGACTTGGAGGAGCACCGACACAGAAATGTAACGCATTTCACTGCCTTGAAGGCTGAGTCAGCTGCTGAGCTGTTGTAGTCCACGTGACAGCTGACATTGGCGATAGATAAAGACCACAGCCTGATTTCGACCAACTCTCAGACCTGCTCCAAGCTCTTCTCTGTGTGGCTAGCTCCTCCAGGGCATCTGAGGCAGAAGCTTCCAACTGGAACATCAGCATCTAGCACAAGAGTGCATAGGGAGAGGTGCACACACGGGGGCGACGTAAGCACTCTGCATATGAGGCACCTTGAAAAGCAAAATCTCTAAGGGCTGATAAAAAAGCGTTTTCATGGTATCGAAGGGGTAAACTCAATGGAAATGCCATCCGTGTGCTATGTGAAATGTAGCCATTGTGACGAAAATTGAAAATAAAAAGATGACGAGAGTAGGAAGCAAACGCAAAGTGCCCTTTGGGCGAGGACAAGGCCAGCGTCAGGGATATCAGCGTTACACCTCACGTCAAACCTTCTGTTGCATATGACCGACATTCTGGAACATTTTAGAATATGAGCTGCTTCAAAAAGACAGCTTTTCACTGTTAGGTCACATTACAAGCCAGAGACCACAAACGCATTTCAAATTCAATATTTTGTTTTTTCAAAATCACAAAGTTAATTGCAAGCACTCTCAGTGACTCCAAAATGAAGATATATGCCATAATGCTAAGAAATCTTTAACTCCAAACATTATGAGGTATGAATTTCATCCTTTAAGTCAACAAATAGAGACACTGCCCAATGTGAAAAGGGCTGCCTGACATCAAGGAAGATGCTTTAGTGGGAATACACATGTAGCCCAGCTGATAATGCTTCAGAAAGGGAGGCCAAGGCTGCGCCCTCTTTTTCCCAAGAGGTTCCCCTCTGGATCTCCACTCCCTCCTCCTTAGGGGCCAGGGCTGGTCTGGGGCTCAGACATTTCCCAGACTGTGTTCTGCTGCTGGACCCAAGATGCAGGCAGGCAGAGACCTGGGACAGAGTCAAGCCCTAGCACATGTTTTATGAATTACAGTGCCTGGGAGGCATCAGCTTTAAGGAGAAGCAAATGCAGAGATAAAGAAAATGTGCAGAAAGTACATAAAGATAAATGCCTGTAAAATCACTGCTGTTTTAATGCTTTCCATATTGAAGAAATAAAACTGTGAATATTCTTGATGATTTAATGGCAACACAGTCCAGCTAAGACCTGTTTGTCCAACTAGATAATTAAGTCATTTATATGTAAATGTTTATAGTAGCTGATCCTGATTTTCAATTACAGTTCTCAGGGAACTGGTTTAGTAGAGAAAAATGCCTTCTGAACAAGCAGCGCATCACTTTTCCCTCATGAAACAATAAAGAAGAGGCAGGGCTCCTGTGTCCACAGTGCTGCTCAGGGAGGACGGGCTGACTCTGTGTGACTTCGGGACCACTGGACGAGCTTCTCCATCATGTCCCTGGGAAGGCATTGCTCTCAATGGCTCAGTCCTAGGTTAGAATTCCAGTTTTGATTATTAAGAGCTCTATAACCTGTGGAAAGTTACTGAATTTGTATAACTCATAGTTCCTCATATATAAAACAAAGACCATGGTTCTGTGCTATGGGTAAGATTAAATTATATACAACATGCAGGTCAAGTGCTCAGCAGAGCACCTGGCACACAATGATCATAAAATATGGAGACTTTATTAGTGTGGTTATAGTTGCTATTATTAATAATATCGGTGTTCTTATCTAGCACATCCTCCATAGAGCTCACTGCTTCTTAAAGAAGTAGTGGAGAAGACCATAAACCTCTATTATAGTTTCTCATCTTTCTTACCAAAAGACTAATCTCCAGAAGGTCATTCAACTTTTCAACATCTGTTTTTGAAACAACAAACAAGACATGGTAATAACTTCCTTGTGATCTCATGCTGTCTTTATTTAGAAAAACTAGTCCTGAAATATAATTCCAAAATAGCCCTGTAGATAGATATATCTAAAAACCAACAGTGTTCCGAGATTTTTAAGAACCAGCAGACTGACAGAACATTCCCACATTTTAAAATTAAAATCAAGCCCCTGAAGATTTATTTTGAATTTTTTATTACAATTTAAAATTTTGTTTTGTATGTGAGCACACGTGCATATGGATGGGGCCATTTATGTATCACAACACATGTGAGGAGGTGAGAGGAAAGGTTCCATCCTTCCACTCTGTGGGTCCCAGAGATTGAATTCAAGCCTAGAGGCAGACACCTTTAACCACTAAGCCACCTCACCAGCCTGCTGTTGAGATTTTAATTTGCACAGTCGCCTCGAGAAAAAAGTACTTTTTGCCTTATCTGCTAAAACTGATCACAATGAATCAAACTTTATCACAGTATCAAAAAAATGAATGCTAAGATTATTAAGAGAAATATTCATCAGTTTGGTTTTTGAATGTATCAAATGGTATGTTGAAAACTGCTGAAATTTTAGTATGAATAATCTATCTATTTAATGCAGAGCCAGTTAATACTGAGAATTCTTTGTTTTATCATTCAACAGGAACTAGGTAGACACAAAGCAGAATACATTTTAACAGTCTGTTAGGGATTCAGCTTTAAAGAGATCTCATGGCCACAGTGCTGGCACAGCCCCGATACAAAGTTTGAACCCGGGTCTTTCTTTTGCAGAAGCCCAGGATCTTTCTTGTAAGACCACAAAGTACTGCTCTGTATACGCCGTGGGGTCCTAGGGCCTCACAAGTGTCTCCATTCAAGCTGGCAACCATTCACTGATTTATTCAATATTGACTGATCTCCTCCATATGGCTTGAATCTAGAAAAGACAAATTCTGCCTTACTGGTGAACCAATGAGAAAGCCTCAGAGGTTGTGGAGGTACATAGGATTATCCAGAAAGTTCTTCCCTTACATGAAGCATAGGAAAAAGCATTCATAGCAAGCTTATTTTTGGAGACCACATTACATATGAATGTAATATGGCTATGATTTATCTGAAAATCTAAATACACTGGAAGCCTGACATAAACCTCATTGTTTCAGACAGAATTTGCTATTGCGTAGACCCTACTCAAGCATATTTAATTCCACTTACTTTCCAAGTACCGTAAGATCCTCTTAAAAGATAAACTTGAAGAATTTGTTGTGGTGTGCCAAAAGACATCCAAAAGATAGGAGCCCCATCCCTCTCCCCTTATCTTGAATGAAGAATTATCAACGCTATTTTTCCATATTCTTTTCTGCTCATGACAAACCTAAACTAAAAATGTTCATCTTTAATGGGAAAGAACTAAGATTTCAGACAGTCAAAGACCAAATATCTGCATGCTTCATTGGCATGAGTGCTAACTCACAGAGACCACGCAAGAAAGTCAAGCATTGTTTTCCCAGACACCGAAGAGGTACATGCTGCCTCAGATAATAAGCCAGTTGTCTTCTTAGCGTCCCACAGAAACACAACATCACCCTTCTCAGGCCATATTTTTCAGATATAACGTGTTTGAAATTTGCGATACGAGCAGGCGACAGTGCATTCCAAACCTACCACCACCCAAGGATGCACACCGAGTCGCTGGTATTCACTGTCCCCTGTCAGTTCACAGGGCGCTGAACTTACCTCTCGAGCTCTGCGATCTTCTTGTCTTTGTCATTCTTCTCATTCTCCACCTCTCTGAGGATCTCCAGCAACCTATCCACTTCTGCTTGGGCCTTGCCACACTCGTCGCGGTAGTAAGATGCATCCTTATCAAGCTGCTTCAGTCGGTCTGCAAACTCAGGGTTCATCCTGGAGTCATCTTCAATATTATGAGCCTTCAACATTACATTTTTAAAGAACAGAGTTAAGACAGTGATTTAGAACAATAGGTAGTGTAGTCACCAATGGCCCAGAAAGTAACTCTGGAGAGAAAATATCCAATAAGAATTATGGGTATTCTGTCAGCAGAGAGGGCAAAATGGAAAAAACACATATTTCAGCTACCCTAATGTTGATTTTAAAGTATATTACAGTTTCCCACAAGGAGGTTCTTCTATCCTTTATATTTTGTTACATGAAATTTCCCTTCTTTTGACTTTTCTTCCTGCTAAAATTAGAGGACGATGACTTTCTTCCTGTGCATTTTGCAAGAAAAATGAAGACAGTGGGATTCTTCAGGGACAATTTAGACCAAATGCCTCCATTCCCAATGTACAGATCTGAAAGCACACAGTAGTTAATTGTCTTCCCAAGGCCCTTCAAGGGCATATGTGGAGCTAAGTAGCAGGTAAGAGATTGAGTGACTGGTCATTGAGCACATTACCCTATGAGAAATATCAGCAGAGGAGGCACTCTGGAAGGAAGACTCTGAGGTGGGGAAGGGCTTTCTGGCTAACAGTCATACCCATAAATTCTTATTCTCTTGAACAGACTTAACCTTAACCATGAGGAGGATGAGCTGTTCATGAACAAGCACAGAGACGAGAATCTGCAAATACATGCAAGGGTAGGTAGCAGCTTTACACACGACAACAGACACGGTCGACGACAAGCAACAAAACTGTAGAATAGTTTGCAGCCAAAGTGTTTGTGGTTTTGTGTGTGTGTGTGTGTGTGTGTGTGTGTGTGTGTGTATGCACTATGGTTTATTTTTTCCCAAAATAAACTTTTGGCTGAAATATTCCCAGACAGATGGAAGTAACATTGCACTGCAATGTTTTACCTGCCCCTTGGTTCTCATTATCCCTAACTGACTTCTTCAAAGAGCAGGCAGAGAAAAAACAAGCATTTTAACAACAGTGCACATTCAACAGAGAAAGCTCAGAGAAGTCATACAGATATGTATCTAGAAAGAATTCATGTGTGAAATAATAAACCATTAACAACTGATCAAACTTTAGTTGTGCTTTCCTGCTAGGTGGCACACATGTTCACTGTGATTTTATACATGTTTTGTTTTTAATTTCAGGGAAAAAATAAGGCCAGCAAGCTATAGCTATTGTGGGGTTAAATGGATCATGCATGGTTAAAAAAAATTAATACTAATACTACTGTTAGAGGGTTGACAATCTTTGCAATGATTTAGTAGAAAAAAATCCAAAAATTAGTATACATAAAATAAATTTCTTACTCATGACAAAATCATTTTTAAAATGATATTTTTGCATGTAACATATTATTTAAGCATGAGGATAGAGAGGGAATAATTTGCTTTCGTGATCTTTATGAGTTCCTTGCCTAAGAAATACACTGAACTAGGAAAATAAACTTGCAAAAATATATCAATCGAACACACTGCCAGGAACTGGTTTACTCTCCTTTACCAATGTATCTCAAAAAGCATTTATTTTTATTTAGTGTGCACCCTGGGTTTCCTTGTAACATTTATTGAGCTTTTCAGTATTAATAAAAGAGAAACCTAAACCAATATGCATTTAGGAGTTTATTCTTGTGGTAGCTTTATTTTTATATAAAGTATTTACTATTTTAATAGCTTTTATAATTTAGAACAGGTAATTATTTTAAAAGACATATCTACCACTATTTGAGATAATACAGTCAATTCAAGACCTTTGTGACAAAGAGCATTAAAATACAGTTTTTAAACAGCTAAAATATTTTCTTATTAAGCTGTTTCCATTATTATTCTGCAGTAATAACATTTAATCAGATGAAAGCAGTCCATTGACATTTTCAAAGTGTCTAAACAATGACATTAAGACCTTAAAATATAATTAGTAAACTAAGTAATGAGTTGTTTAAAACATTCAAAACACATGAATAAACATATTTTAATTACCTGTTTCTGTCTAGACTTAAACTTCCTTTCCTACCTCTTAAAGATTCACAAAAGTTAGCAGATAGCCACTATAGTCTGTCTTGGATTTAGTATTCTTAGGCTTATTATTGCTATTATTTTAATAAGTGGGTACAGGATTCACAGTCATGAGACAGTAGTCCTAAATCTAGCCCTATGTCCTGTGTCTACAAGGAAATCAGCAGCTTTCTAAGGACAGTGAAAACTACAAAAAGGCAAACATCTGGAAGATCATATTCATGTTTTATTATTATTATCATTATTATTATTATTTTATAATACACATCCAAGAAATAGAACTTGTTATGCAGCTAGGTTAATAGGTTTGTTTAATTTTCATTGACACAGTCATTAAAGAAGTCTCTCTGGTAGGTTTACAAGAAAGTACAGTCTGTTCCTGTTAGTGATGCTAACCTCTGCCCTTTATTTGATGCCAAGGATGATAATCCAAGGTCAGTTTTCAACAGTGGGTGAAATCAGATGGATCTGTAGTCTTTTCTGCCCAATAAGTGAGTATGGATAAAGGACTCAGAAGATGTTTAGAAATCTAAGCAAAATGCCTGAATCTCAGCTATACCACTGATGACCTCATGGGATGGAAAAGTTACATTATTAAAGTCCACAGGAAAGATAATAGTTGGCTTGTGTCTGCCAGGGAAAACTTGGAAGTGATAATGATTCTTCCTTTTAACATTTATAGGCAGCCGCATGAATACCTGTGAGTCAAGTACACTCTCTCTATCCTCATAATAGTACCCACTGGTTTTAGGCAAAAGAATTTATATCAAACACTCTTCAATCTTGAAGATGTATTATTAGAAGAGCTTTTCAAAAGAGGTCTAAATATATCACTATAAAATTGTCAAATCCATAAGAAGCTTTAAGGAAGATTCATATAAAGACCTGAAGAAAACAAAATTTTAGATAAATGCTATATCCCAGTCAAAGAAGAGTGCAAAGACAACGATAGCCTCCCATGCTTGGTAAGACTGGTGAGTCCTCAGTCCACCGAAAGTACTAGAGGCAAAGTCCGCACAAATTTCATAAGCCTATCACAGATGAGTAGTTCTACTCAACATAAAATGCAACTTTTCAGAAGAAGTGCTGAATTGCTTAGCCCATAGAGAATGAGAATGCTATACTGAGATCCAGATATGGGGCAATACTGCGCGCACACACGCGCGTACACACACACAATTATAAGAGAAAATTGAGTTTTTAAAGCCAATTCTTCAGAATTTTAAGGCAGGAGAGGTAGGACTATTGTTGCCTTTTCAAATTATGACAAGAGTTCCTTAGCAACTTCTGACAGGGATCAAAGCAGGTATTAGATTTAAGCTAATGTGTCCTAGATACTATAGGAAAAGCACAGAAGGGTTTATTCCAATAAAGCACCATCAAAACAGACTCCTACCATGATGTCATTCTTACATGTTTAAGGTTTAAGCAGAAAATGGACAGCAATTATTTCCTCTTAAGGACCTGTCGGTGATCAAAGCTTCCCCAGGGAAGAGGAGCATGCCCTTCCATTCTCCCAAGGCACAACAACCACGTATTTTCATTAGACAGAAATCTAACTCTCTGAAAATACAGATCGTTACGATTCTTTTTCCCAGAATTTTTTTTATCATGAATATGGCCAAGAACATTCTACAATCCCTAAGTATTCACTATTTTGTTAATGGAGAGGTTTAACTTTTCTGGTTAAACAGGTCATTAAGGAACAAATCTAGACATCTAGTTCTGTCTCAAACTACTCTTGAAACTTTCAAAGCAACTCTCAAGTGTCTTGTAGAAAAAAAGAAAATTGGAAAAGGGTATTATAGAAATGTCAGAATTATATGTAGGGTCTGTAAGTTTTGGAGTCTCTAGATTGTGCCTTTGTATTTCTACACGTGAAGAATATCCCTAAACATGGGAATAACCAAAACAAAGTTGGACACTTCATGGAATGTGAGCCAGTCTCAACATTTTGTTGTGAACTGAATTTGAAAGCCTAGAAAAAGTATAAAGGGAATCTAGTTATGACTTGAGATGAGCCCTGTATATCTAATTGTCATCTTGGTGAAGGACATTAGAACTCTATCAGGAACAAAGCAAAATTTTAGATAAATGCTATATCCCAGTCAAAGAGGAATGGCTAACTCCAAAGTTGAGAGCTGACAGGTATCAAAATCACATATCACAAGTTTATTTGGACTTAATCTTATGAAGGTCAGACATTGATTATTTTCAGTGAAATACTAATCCGTCATTCCAGATGTCTAGAAAGGAAAGCATTAACTTCAGTCCAGAAATCTGCTCTGACACAGAGCAGAGAATATTCAATTATTATATAATGCCCCCCTTTGAAATGGGAGCTAACAATTTTAATTTAAAAAGTCATTTCCCTCACAATAAATAAATGATCAGCTGTAACCATAACGTACAAGCATAATGTCAGCTAATGAGTTTGGTGGGCTTTCATCCCTGCTGCTGCTGCTCTCCTTCAGCAGTATTTGATAAATGGATGCACTGTAAAAATATGATTCTCAGGTACGGTGTTCTGCTGGGGACGTGGCCATGGACGGTGCTTCAGCAAGCCTTTCGTATCATAATAGAATGGGCATGTAAACTATTTTATACACCGGACTTGATTTCAGTCTTCTAAAAGAAGCACAAACCACATAATTCTAAGTTATGAAAATATAAACTCATTAGCTTTCTGTGATGACAGAACTACAACATATTTTAAAACTTAAATTTCATTTCAAATAAAATAAATTAAGGACAGCATAATTACTGACCCTAAGTAATATACTTTTAAACTAATAATGATACATATTGGAATCTTATTTTCTTCATTTTAAAGGAAATCACTTGGCAGTTCCAACTAACTAAACTCAGAAGCAATTTGCCTGTTAGAAGTACACCAAAAAGAAATTATTTTTACAGATGAAGCAAATAGAATATAAATAAATATAAACAAATGTTCAAAATAATTTTTCCTGTCTTATTCACAGAAAAATCTCTCCATAT